AATCGCCAATTAAATCCCGAAAAAAGATAGGATAAGTCCGAGGAAGTAGCATTTTGACTGAGAAGGCTCAATTCCGTTGGTAACGGTACAATAGAGGCAGATGTGCTTTGCACGAGGCCAGTGCCACCATCACTTTGTGGTAAAGCTGCAGTTGTGGAGAACGGCAGTGGACTCCTGTCCCTTCGTAACACTAACAATTTACTCCGATTATCGTTAGTTTCGTCCTTAATCATTCTAGAAAGAATTATTTTATGCAAGATCCACAACAGTTACAGCTTACTCTTTCATATATCCGCGACAACCATAAGGCAGTGAAGCAGACAACGAGAACTCATCCTGCATTTGAAAAAAAAAGGCCTCGCAGTCCCCCAACCTTAAAAAGTCAGCTGCACCGATGGCCCCGATTACCAGCTAATTTTAGATGGAAATGTGTTCGCAAGCTTAATCAAGAGATTTCCTGTCCTGGGCTGCTTGCTTAACGAGTCGTGTTGAGTGGATACAGTTCGCTCAAAAACCACAAGCTGAACCTCCGGCACTAACTAAACAGCACAATACTATGACAAAACATCGCTTTTATTCGCTGACTTAAACGAAGAGTTTATGCATGTATGAAAGAAACACACATCAATTTTTTTTTATCAATTTTTTTAAAAGAATTGATAGAAATTTGAACTTTGGGTGGACAATACCTTGGAAAAATCGATGCGTTATTGGGCAGTATATTCTGGCCACTATCCTGTTGCTTGAGACGTAGCTCAACTTCTTTTCGCTTTTGCACATTTTCCTCTGTTTTCGGTTCTGTTAGTGATTCAACTCCCACCACGTGGTCCGGCCTCAAATTGATTTAGAATAAGAAACAGTTATAAATAAATACAAAAAAACAAACTGAGAAATATCTATGGATTAAATTTTTAAATTTCTGCGTTCGTAAGGTACGTCACTGTGTCCCGTAAGCAGCAACGCTGGAACGAGGCTCAGCACAAGTCTAGGGTATTTCGGGACGACTAAAGCTCAGCCAGTTTCCGTCGGAATAAGAATCACCGAGAGGGCAATCCCTTCGGGAGACAGGAACTGATGACATAATCGCTAGCATGGTGATCCTTCGGCATTGCAGCATTTGTAAAAGCTACTGAAAAAGTGGCCATCTGAACAATCGGAAAATTGAGATGTAAACTATAGGTGATTCAAAGAGCCGTTAAAATGATGAGTAACTGTTCCAGGCGCCTGTACATGAAACTTGAGTAGAAAACCATAAAAATCAAGGTAAAATCCACAAGGAAAAAAAAAAATCAGTAAAGCGCCAATCCGAAGCATCCCTCAAAACTTTTTCCAGTGTTCCTGTGACTGTTTTACTGGTAACGAATGAAAAGAAATCAGAGAGATAAAACGAGAATAGTTACTTCAGAGGCTTCAGCGTCGTTTCGTTGACAGGAATATGACTATTCGTTTTTTCATAGTAAGTATCGTTCGAGAGGAAGTCCGTATACCGTTTTGTAAGCAGATGAAGCAACAAGCTGCGATTGTCCAGTAATCTGTCTGGACGAGAATCCGGTAGAGTAGTAGAACCCGAGAGAAGCGGGGCACTCAGTAACGACAGCAACACCGCTCCAATTGCAAAGGAAGCATGTACTGCGAATAAGCTACGCGTTTCAGAAGCATTGCTTCCATGTATAACTATCAAACCTCCTGTAAAAACCTCAAGCCTGTAAAAACCTCGAGTCAAACCTCCTGTAAAAAACTCGAAAAATACAACTGTATCGGAATTACCTCTAAAAATCGTCCCATGAAGGCATCCGAGGATAAGCGAGTAAAGACAGGCGGCGAGAACAGTTTTTGAACATCCAAAAAGAAACGTGACTACAATGTTCCCACTCACTGACAACGCCAATAACAGGGTTGCATTGATCCGCGTGAATAACACATACACTGAAACAACCAGAAGCTTCCAAATCAAACCGGATAACAGATATGTATTGAAAATCGCCTCTCTCCTCCACCCTCAACCCCCTGGTGCTCATCGAGAAGTGCTGCTAGCTGACCAGCGATAATGTCCATGAACAGCTTCTAAACGAAGGGAGGAAGCAAGCACATCGAGCGGTAGTTACCCTATCGCCTTTTTTCGTGCGGAAAAGCAGACTGCGACAGTTTTCTCAAGTACCGACTGAACCGTATGAACGGAAATCTCCAAATTTTATGTGCTCAGATCTAAAGAATTCCCTGTTGATGTCCTCACCATTTGGAGCTTTCCAGTTTTTATTTG